AACAGAGTCGTCATCCCTGAGAAACTCAGATCGATGATCTTAGCCATTCTTCATAAGGGCCATCCTAGAATACGTAGAACCAAACAACTCACCCGTGAGTACGTGTATTGGCCGAAAATGGCGGAAAACATCGAACGTCTCGTTCATCAGTGCGACTCTTGCGCTGTGAACCAGAAAAAACTTCCAGTAAAGGTACCACTAAATTCGTAACCCACTCCAACACGCCCATGTGGAACACGTACACCTAGACTACGCTGATTCAGTCGACAGTCAATATCTACTCATTTTCGTGAATGCATTTTCCAAATTCATCGATGTCGCCATCACTACTATAATATTTCGGCTAATCGTACTGTCGATCTTCTTCACTCCTTTGCCCCCTGCGTGTCCGGATGACGGCTGGACATTCTATCAGCCCCATCCGCCACAGATTTCTTAGCGAAACACTCCTCTCATTCTGGAAACGAATCATCGACCAAAAGCTTCTCCCATAGCTCCAACTACAGCCGACCAAAGTCCAGAACCTCCATCAGACCATCCAACTTCGATCAGGCCCGTTTGACACCGAATGGCCCCCTTGTACTGGAGCCAAAAGTTACTCTCAATGGTGACTTCCTTGAGGAGAAAGATGTTGGGTCCCTCGGCCGATCCACAGATAATACTACCGTCATGTGGCTTGGCAATCTCTCGCTGCCCCCGAGCCTGAATGGTGCTTCTCGACACATGGTGTCGAGAACTACTACTATTTTCCATTAAACGATTTCATTATACTAAACCCCCATGTTACATTGTATCGGGCATTCCCGTCGCTTTTCCTCGCACGTCCCTAACAGATATAGGAGGAAGAGGAGAGTCGGTCATTGATTATATACTGAATGATGAAACAATAAAAAAAAAAGTTATGCGATTGGAGATAGGGAAAAATGTAGAATCAGATCATCACCCGATTACGGCATGGATTAGAGAAGAAAAGGGCAACAGGAAAAAAAGGAAGAGAAAGGGGGAAGAGGGACATAGAATGAGAAAAATAGGGAAACATTTAGAAGGAAGTTGGGCAGAATAGAAGAGATGAGGAACTCAAGAGGAGATGAAATAGATGGAGAGGAGAATCAGGAAGTAGAAGAAACAGAAAAGGAATTGGGAGGGAGAAAGGAAAAAGGAGGGAATGATGGGATGAGGAGTATAGGAGAAAGAAGAGAGGTGAGAAGAAATTTGAGAGCATGCAGAGCGGGAATAGGAGAGAAGGAGAGGTGTAGGGAGAGGAAAAGAAAATATAAGGAATTATTGTGAGAGGCAAAAATGGGAAGAAAATGAGAGGTGGATAACAATGATGGAGGGAGTAAAGATGGAGAGCCAAGTATGGAAGAGGAAGATGGTAAACATGAAGAGGAAGAAGTAGACACAACACAGGGGTGAATAAAGAGATGATAGAGTGGGAAGAGTATTTTATGGAATTTCACGGGGGTGATTAGAAGAAGAGAGAAGGGAAGAGAGAGGAACGGAGAAAGAAGATAGAGAAGAAATGAAGAAAATAATGGAAAAGTTAAAGAATGTAAAGGTGAATGAAGGAGACGAGGTACTGAATAAAGTTTGAAGATATGGGGGGATTGAGGAATTGGAGGTGAGAGATTTATAATAGGATATGGAGGGGAGAGGATTAGTCGGAAGGATGGAAAGTAGGACTTATACTAAGCAAGAAAGGCAGAGGGAAAGTAGTAGGGAAGTACAAAGGAGTGACACTGATGCCTTCTCTATACAAAGTGTGCACAGCGATTCTGGTGGAGAGAGTAAGGGAAAAAATAGAAGAGAAACAGCTGATATCGGATAATCAAATAGGATTCAGAAAAGGAAAAAAGACGACGGACAACGTATATGTGCTGAATTATTTGATAATTAGACAGATAGGGAGGAAAGGGAAAGGGATGGTGATAATGTACAGATCTTAAGGCAGCATTTGACACGGTGAACAGGGAAAATTTAATAGATGCGATGAGAAAGAAAGGGCAGAGAGAGGAATGGTAAAGAGATTGGGGGAGGTAATAAGAGAAATGAAAAGCAAAGTCAAAATGGAGAAGAGATCGGAGAGGATTTCTGGACGGCAAGAGGGATGAGACAAGGGTGCCCGCTGAGCTCCTTGCTATTTAATTTTTTGATAGCGGATCTGGAAGAGGAAAAGTGAAATAGGAGGGCGTGAGAGTGGGAGAGAGAAAAGTATTTACGATAGCATACGCGGATAGCATGGTTTTGATGGCGGAAAATAAAGGAGAAATGAGGAGTATCTATAATGGAGGGATATCTGGAGAGAAAGGAATTGAATATAGAAAAGGCTAAAATAATGAGATTTCGAAAAGGAAGTGGAAGATGGAAAAAGTTCAAATGGTGATGGAGGAGGAAAAGAATCGAGGAGGTAAAGGAATTTAAGTAGTTGGAGTACACACTTTAGACAAACGGGAAACAAGAGGCTCATATAAAAGAAAGAATAAAGAAAGCAGCGGAAGGAATAGGACAAATAGGGAAAAGAAGATTTGAGAAAGGATTTTGCTAGATTAATTTGAGATTTTTGATAAATTAATTTGACCATATATAGTAGGTATAGGGCGGAAATATGGAGTTGGGAGGAAAGGAAGGGAAGGAGTGGAAAAAGGGGGAAGGAGTGAAAATAGGTTTTTGAAAGGTATTAGAAGGTAAAGGGTATTAGGAGTAAAAAGAAGAATGCCAGGATATATAGGAAGAGAAGAGCTGAAAAGGGACAAGTTGAGGAGTAGAGCAGTGAAAAGAGCGTGGAGATTTGAAAAGAAGATGCAGAAGGGGAATGAAAGCAGAATAGCTCAGGAATGTTGGAAGGAGATAAAGGAAAAATGAAAAAAGAGAGGGGGAATATCTAGAGAAAAGAGAGGAATGATGGATTAAGGAGGTGGGGAATAGAAGGGGGGAAGTGAGAAAGATAAAGGAGGCGAAGAGAAGGAAGAAAGAGATACAGAGTGTAGAGAGATAGGAAAATATAGAGAGGGCTAATTATAATAGATGGTATAAGAGAATAAAGGGGACTGACATACCAGCATATTTGAAAAAGGGGTGGAGGAAAGCAGATGAAGGAGAATAGCCAAGTTCAGGCTGGGCAATAAAATTTATTAGTGTTCGTGCCAAAGAGGTTATATAGAATAGAGGAGCCAACTAAGAATGCATGAGTGAATAGAAAGAAATAGAAAACGAGATAGCCATCAGCGTCCTTGTAATCGCGCATGTGCTGTTGATTTTTACTGTTAGATGGGAAGATTTGAGACAGCAATATATTAGGAGTACAAATGAATAATTCAAATTTTTCAGCTAAATTCAAGATTTATTCTAAAAGAAAGTAAAACAAATTTTTTAATCTAAGTATTCGCCATTGCTTTCTATAATTTTAAGCCATCTTTCAGGAAGCTGATAAATTCCATCTCGAAAAAATGCTGTCTTTGGACGCAATAAAATCGTCAAGCCATTTTCGGATCTCATCTACTGATTGGAAGTGAATATCAGACAAGGCGCGTGTTGCATCAACCGAAACAGCTGATAATCAGTGCAATGTCTGATGAATACGCCGAGTGCTGTAAGATGTCCCAGACAAGATTCATTATGCCTTTTATCTTCGAAGCAATATGAGGACATTATCATGCAACAATTTCGGATGGACGTTTTTCTTTGCCAGTATACGGGCGTTTCTATTCTAATTCTTGACTCAAGCGGATTAATTGGCGTTGATAGCAGTCTGCAGTAACTGTTTTATCTGGTTCCAACAGCTCATAATAAAGCACGCCTTTAATATTCTACCAAATGCATTCTACTGAACTGAATTTTTTTGAAGATTATGTTGAGCCTTTCACCATACTAAATGTTATTTTTAATAGCTATATGTCAACAACACTACATAAAAGAGCGGGAAAATCAATTAATTTTAAAATTAATTTCTTAACTACTAAAAAACATTTAAATTATTTATTTGTACACCTAATACTTCCCCTCCTCGATGCCGCTCCGCTTAGCTTTCGAAATTCAATGCGCGCGCAATATTAGACAAAGATAAAGATGGCCATCCCCAGAGAGAAGAGAGAGTGAAGCGGAGGGTGTTTCTCTTCTCTGATTGGTTCCGCCATCTATAACTCATGTGCGTGTATGTGTATGTACATACATGTATGTTACACATATAATACTAATGCGGTACAATAATTTCATCACACTCCTATCATGTCTCCTATCATATCTCACTTCAACGCTAAACATAACTTCCGGGTGAGTCTGCTCCACTCTCCCTTGATTCTCTCTGACCATCCCGTATTCTTTCTTTTTCTACTGTCTAAGATTTCCACTTACAGGGGCCCCTATTCCTTGCCTACTCTATATATACAACCTCTTTGGTTCATGCACAGATACATTTATGAGTGTGTGTGTACGCTCGCCTCAAAAGTTTCTCTCTTCACAGAGTACGCGCGGAGAAGCATATTCGTAGATTGTACGTGATCGACTTTTTAGTGCAATTATAGCCGGAGAAATACTTTAAAAACAAAGCTCAACGAGGTTCGATACCGGCTGTAAAAAATTCGATATTTTTATGTTAAAGTATAATTTAAGCATTAATTTAAGCTCATCTTTTCGAAATGTGTCGCACATCAAGTGCATCAGCTACGAATTTTCAAAAATAATAAAAAATACGTTTTTCAGGAGTTTCAACTTTATTTTTCTCAAAAACCTGACGTGATAAAAAATTTTCACTATGGATTCAGATTCATCAAAAATAACAGAAAATTATTATTCTTTTTCAAACGGCAAAAATCATGTAAAATTAGGTTATGCTGATTCTACAATGAGTTTGCAGTCGGAAATTATTAATCTTAATCGAAATTATTAATATTAATCTTAATGAAGTTGGCCAATCAATATTAGTCATACAAGTTGGCTATTGGTCAATTTCATTGACAAGATTATTAACATTGTAGAATCAGCATATCGATGATGTAACTCACCTCCATTCTCATGAATCTCGTAAAGAGCATATTCTGGGACGGACAGCATTCTCATGTCGGGACGAAATTTTTCTATGAGCGTTTCTATCACTGCCTGGCTAGTCGCGTCCGAGGCAACCCTGATGCACTTAGTAGCGACCTTTTGACCGCTGTCTTGGAAATAAAACCTCATCACGCCGTGAAACTCCAAATCCTATTGAGAAAAAAGTAATACAACTCGACTGAAGACAGAAACGATTTTGCGAAAATTTAAATGTGACACTCACTTCGTTAGGCTCCGAAAGTTCAAACAGATCCAAGCGATTGGCGTTCCACTGCTGTATAAGTCCTCTGAGAGCGTCCCGCTCCGCCTTTTTATTCGTCAGTTCCGTTGCCATCCTGAAAAACACGACGGACGTGTATATAATTGCAATCAATCGACAGTTGCGAAAATTACAAATTATTGTACAACAAATTATTAAACAGATCACGATTCCTTAATCGCACCGCATAATCGCAAACTTCTCTTTTTAATTAAAGAACCAAGAATGCATGGATAAATAGAAGAATGTACTTTTAGAAATTCTTATACAATATCTTATTATACATTATAATTGAATCAAATATATTAGATCTGTTCGTGTTGTTTGCACTTTTTGCATTCAGAATCATTACTTTCTTTCTTTTCAACGCACAAACGTATACTTATTTTTTAAGGGTCGACTGGAGAGATTATAGAGATCTTTAGTTGAAGACGAATTTCTTTATGCTAAAATTACGGCTAAAATATTGCATAATTAGCGTTTTAATTGCAATATTTGTTATCACAAAAATCACCTAAAGGCTCGTATAGAGCAATTTTTTTTAGAAAGAAAATGACAAAATAAAAATATCTCAACTGATGTATACTGCAGTGCAGTTAGTAATAATTTTTATGCACGTAATTATAATTTTTCAAAAACCAATTTACAAAATCCGGTTCTGCATGCACTTTCACAGCATCAGAAAATATAAGAGCTAGATAGGTCTCATAACGCAATATTACTTCTAGGAGATAAAATATCCCTAATATCAGTATAAAAACATGTATCTGCGAATAGGAACATTCCATTTTATTTATTATAAAATTTTTAGAAGCGAAATTGCAAAAATCAACTTTTTAACAAACTTCCAGCTTCATAGCCATAAAATATAAGCTAAAACAAATTTCATAGCAAAATATTTCTTTTATATGATATTCAGGGTTGGCAAACGTTACTGTTCCAAACCATATAACTTTTGTCTGAAACATTTTTCTCTAAAATTCATTGTTCAAGAGATATTTTAGTGCGTTAATTAAAGTGATACACTCTGTATATGAACCTTAACATCTAAATTTTTAATTGTATATGTAATTGTTCTTTAATAATAAATAATCTAAACATTGTGTTTTCAGTTTGACACTTTAATCTTCTTCACGATATGTTTCTTTAAAAATCTTTACCACATTGATTTTATAAGTTATTTAAATTCTAACACTACTAAATCACTAATTAATATGACACTTCACATTAATTTTAAAACAATAGGGAGTTTACATGAAAAAAATATTTTTTTTTGTTTATTATGGAAATATGCATTATTATAAATTTACGTATAGAGTAACTTCGGTATACAGGGTTGGCCATATTCGACGGAAAGATGTTTTTTTTTTCAATCATGGGAAACGTCGTTACTCGATCTAACATCTCTGTCAAAAGTTACAGTGTTGCCAGATCTTTCCGTCGAATATGGCCAACCCTGTATATGCCGCACCTATCAAAAACTTATTTATCAAGTATTATTTACTATGTTTAAATATTAGTAAAAACTTTGTACTGTCTACTATGAAAAAAATATTAAAAATCCGAAATATATATTTTTCATATTAAAAAATAAACTTTTTGAAATCCTTGCATTTTTGCTATATATCTCATAGGGGGTTACTCATAGAAGAAAGGGAGTATGTACGATATGTACGGCTGAAAAATTTACAAATAATACATATAAATAAGAAGTATAATGACACAATAACTTATAAAATGTGTTTATAAAGTTTTATTAAGGAATGAGAATAGTAAATATATATATGATGTAATAAATAATAATTACAATCTTCCTACATATATTACAATTATATTATGACATAAGGTACATATAATATTTCATATAATGCGTTTATTGCATTTAGTGTACTGAATTCAATCTGCGCATTTTGTATGCTTTGGGCATAAATCCCGCTCGCTAAAAATGCCATATATATTTCAAATAGGTAGGATATACAAGACAACAAACTAAACAAAGAATACGAAAGCAAAGCACTTGTATTTTGCTACACATGCTTTACTATTCCACTACACGTATGTATTACAAAATAACTAATGTCCATTTCTATCAACGTAGATTAACTTTAATCTCGGTTCAACTTACTCTTTGTTTCTTTAGAATTAGAAAAAGATGAAGAGTAAATTGAATCGAGATTAAAGTTAATCTATGTTGGTTGAAATGGGCATAAGTCTTTTACATGCCCTATATTAATCATTTTATGTAAATTATTAATTTAGGATAACGTTACTTATTACAGTAACAAATCGATTCAACTCACAATAATTTCATTAATATTAACAGTAAGAAACTGAAATCATAACAATATTAATATAAAGGCAGTAACAGAGTAGTTGCGGAAAAATTATCCCCATTTCTTCTATTTTTTCTGATTTCTGCGGCGTAAATCTCAGCACGGCTAAGATGTTTTTAGAACACTGCTTACAAATCTTTTTTTTCATAAGAACTTTCCGAGTTGGCATTTGAAAGTTACAGTATCGCCAGTATTAGCATTAAATTTTCTTGGAACCTACGACCTATACGGTCTTATGTTTTTTCTTAATTTATATCTTATGCTGTCAACTTTTATCGATATCAAGGATTCACTAACTTATTGTACAAACCGAAATGGTCTCTTATCACCTTGTCAGTACACAAATAGAGTCTGTATTTATCATACATAAGTCGTAGGCATGACTAATATCTTCTCTCATTGTTTTTTTATCCTTACTTAAAGGACACAATTCACATCTTGCTTATTTTTGCAATTTAATGCAAAAATATAAATCATATATTTTTTAAACAAAAACGACGCGTTGGTGATCAAGGTGATTGACACCTTGCCTCGAGAAAAAAAACGCTTTTTGCGTGAATGACTGCTAAACGTACACTAACTGTCCGATTAAAAAGCTAAACATCTCTATCGATTGTTAACGCTTTAGTAGATGGCAGGTACGCGTCCTTCCAAAGTCAAAAAGGTTCTGAAATTTAGTGTGAAAGATTGCGCGGATCATTTTGACTAGTGTTGTTAAACGGGTTGAGTTTTTGACGCACGTACGATGATGAGGCAGCGAACATAATTGGCGTAGCCAATGTAGGAAAAAAGGGCATTGAAAAGGAGCAATTAAGAAACGCAAGGGAATTCCAATCTTCATGGCTAGATGAGAATATTTTAAGGGATAGGTGACGCTTTGCCATCAAGAAAATAAAGCATTATATTCTGCGTGCAAGAAATTCATCAGATGTGCTAAATAATAGATTTGATTCAGTATTCACAAATAGTCAAATATATTGAAAATATATAAAAATCGATTGATCCGATTAATAACGATAATAAATTAATAGAATTTATTACATAAAAATAAACTCAAATGAGCTGAAATTAAAGTAATATTTTATGCTGAACATAATATTGCTTTTCACATCAGATCACTTAATTCCATTATTATTGAAGGATATTTGTATAGATCCTAAAGTTGTACAAGATTAGTCTGGCTTAAATATATAAATATTATATATTATAGTATATAAGTAAAATATAAAAAATATATTAGGTGTTGGAATTAATTCGTAGCGTTTTACAAGTGATGGGAAGTACTTTCATTAATGTATTTTTTAATGCTCATGTGAAATAAATAACATTCTTTCATTAAAAACGCTACGAATTAATTCCAACACCTAATATTATAATTTTTAAAAATTTTTTAATGCATGGGCGACTAATGAACTACTGTTTACTAGTAACGGATATGTTTCTGAAGCTTATACATTCAACACGCATGCGCCAAAAACCCAGTCCGTCAACAACATTGATTTTGACCCGTGATGATTATGTGAAGGGTTAAACAATTTTTTTTTAATTTTTTAAAAATCGACAAAAAATTTTATATCATAATTTATTTATCATAAGATATCAAAATATTTATTATTTATAATAGATTTTTTGTGGTTTTTTTCAAAAAAATAGTATTTTTGAGAAATCATAAATTTTGTTATAATTTTTTCATTATAATTTAATAAATAATTGAAGGGAAAATCACGCGCGCGCACACATTTTTATTAATTTCACATAAGTGTTTTAAAACAAAAAAATTTCAGTTTTTGTTCTATGATTTATAGAACAAAAAACTATGCCGTTTGAAATTTTTTAATTGTGAAAAAAATCGAAATTCTTAAAAATTTTTCTATAAAAAGACTCGAACTCTTCGAGACTTTGACTCTTGTACGTTGAAAACTTCATTTCGGACATTCTATCAGCAATCGCGTTTCGTGGCAGTGCAGTGATACAATTTCGATTTCAAGCACACCGACATTTCATCTTAAGTTTTTTTAAATAAGTTTTTTAGTGAGTTTTTTTTTAGTAGATCCAGCCCAATAAAACCTGAAGGGTTTTATTAGGTTGGGCCAATCTTGTTAAACCTTGCCGAGCTGCTTTCACGCCTCTTCGAAGACCTTCCTCCGATGCGGGATTGCTCGCAAAGCTTGATTACCACGTTGTGATTATCACGAGATAAATTATCATAGCAGACGTAAAACATGATCTATTCTGTGCGCCAGGCAGCTCCAGAGTATTGAATTCGTGTGTTATGATTCTCGCCATGCGGCATGAGTGTTAGATGCATACAGCGTAGATCTAGAAACGATTCATCCTCAAACAATACAAGGTGCTCGAGAAAAACGCATCATCAACGCTAACGCTCTCACAATAGTTTATAAATTTGATTACCGTGATCGTCTAACATTAAAGTAAGTAAATCTGTAACATAAACACATTTTTATAACGCTAAAGAAATATTATATATACACTGATTAAAGTTTTTTGTTATTAATTTTAGAAATTTTACCCTCCCCCCTCTCTCCCTCCCATCCTTCCTGCCATTCTCCCCTATAATATTACTGTTTATATAAAAAAATACAACACTTGAATTTTATAGTATAAATATATTATATGATAGTTAACCTATGGTATAAACAAAATTGTGAAAAATAAAATTGTAAAACATAAAATTATTCTAAATCATTACATATTTAAAAATTAGAAAAATATCCCAGGCCAT